CTTCTGGACAACAGCTTCTCCACGATGACCATAACTCTTCCTGATGGTATTCTGTACAAAAGCAATGCACTCCTGAAAGTCCATCACATTAGCGAGCTTGAAGAAGACAGCCTGCATAACAACATTAATCATGCGGCCCATACCACACTTCTCAGAAACTTTGAACGCATCGACGTTGAAAACCTTGGCATTCTTTTCAGCGAGTGCCTTACGAACACCAGCGGGTACATGTTCGTTCCACTCCTCAACCGTAGTGAAGGGCGAGTTCAAGCAGAAGGTACCATTGTCCTTAAGATGATCAGTCATACGATACATGTCTATGTAAGTCGTATTGTGACATCCGACGTAGTCGGCCTTGCTGACGGAATAGTATGACTTGAGAGGCTCGGGACCAAATCTCAAATGAGAAACTGTCAAGCCACCAGACTTCTGTGAGCTATAAGCAAAGTATGCTTGGTCAATTCCTCCTGATATCCCATTGTGTAGAGGTATAGTGGTTTGGGTGGTTGCCATGGGGAAAACCATAATCCGCACTACTTGCGGCGACTAAACACACCTGAGAGTTGACACTCTTGTGCTGTTGGTTTTCCCGATGGCGCCTTTTACATCATCGTCGCATATGTAAGTCATAGTTCGAGCTTTGGTCTAAACCAAATACATTATGACAGAACTGACGATGCTATAAAGGCCCCTATACCTCTAGAGGGTGCAGGTGGGCGGGAGAAGCCTCGTACGTATCCCATCAGATGCTGACTTACAGCAACTGGGCCTCTCCGGTGAGAAGTTCTAGCGTCCCGGCGAGCGCTCGACTAATCTAGCGCTCTTTGTGACGCTCAACTGTCTCTCCACTCTACACAACGGTCTTAGTCGTCATTGACCTTGCTCCATAAATGGACCTCCATTCAATTCCTCCTGATATCCCATTGTGTAGAGGTATAGTGGTTTGGGTGGTTGCCATGGGGAAAACCATAATCCGCACTACTTGCGGCGACTAAACACACCTGAGAGTTGACACTCTTGTGCTGTTGGTTTTCCCGATGGCGCCTTTTACATCATCGTCGCATATGTAAGTCATAGTTCGAGCTTTGGTCTAAACCAAATACATTATGACAGAACTGACGATGCTATAAAGGCCCCCCACTGAACCACCCAAACTCGCACTAGTGATCAAGTGTCCAAACCCGCACTAGTGATCAAATTTCCGAACCCGCATTAGTGCTCCCCATAAGCACTGCCAGTGCTGCACTGGTACGCAAGAAACAGAAATCTTAGAAACCAGTCTACCTTTATTTGACACTACTGCATGTCCTAAAAGTGATCTTGTTTACAGACTCACATTTTAGAAAGTGTTAGTGCTACTAACTTAGTAGGAACATATCTTGTTAC